TACATGTAAAATACATGAAAGAAAACAATTGCAAAGGTAGGATCAAAACCAAAGACCAAAGAAAGACCAAAGTCTTGCCAATGTTTCCTTTCACTGGCCACACAATACGCTAAATATTTTTCACAACTGCTACAGCTTGCTTCCTTTGTGAACTCAGAATGAGAAACCAAGAGAAGTGAGAACATTTGCTAAAAAGGAGTAACTCACAAAATGCATTTTCATTTGTTCTTTTTGTTTTAATCAGGCTTCATTCACCCTGATTCCATGAAATAACAGTATTAAGCAGCTGCCTATTCATCATCACAGAATCATAGAATGGCTTGGGTTGGAAGGGATCTTAAAGACCATCTAGTTCCACACCCCCTGCCATGGGCGGGGACATTACTATTTTGATTAGATTAATTAGGTTACAAGCAATAACATAAAATGTTGGCACAAGTATTCAGCCTAGAACAGCAAACCTTGAGAGTGCTGTTGGAGAAAAAAAACAAGCTGTAAGAGTTATAGCCATGTTACTCCCTCACAAACAGGTAGTTACTCAGGATATACAGTATTAGGAACCAAAAGCAAGTCATTCCTTATATTGTCTTCAGTTCTCTGCTTGAAAAATTCACTAACCAATGTAATTAATCATCTAACTCTTCTTCTAGGTAAACAGTATAAGGCATTTTTAAAAAATATGAAGGATGCACTGAAAAATTAATATATCAATCAGCAGCAGTGTAGTTACATCTGTGGTATCTTTACATTTTCCTTTTCCAGGCATTTTATTTGTTCTTGCTCCTCTTCCTTCTTTTGACCGATCAATTAGTAATTGAATCATAACAATCAATGATAAAATCAAACTATGAGCAAGTCCTTAGACAAGGCTGTGCCAATCTGTATGATCACATACATTAATGTGATAAAAACCTTCCCCTCCTACTAGTCATTTGGACCCAATCTAAGACCTGATGTCAAAGGAAAATTCCCCTCTGGTTATTGGTGAGGACTATTTTAAGACTGAATAGTTTCCTGAAATTACATACCCATACCAGGTCCCTAAACTCTGAGATCTGTAAATTTTGGCAGAACAAAACCATTTAGTTATAAAAGAGAGTTTCAGTGTGCCTCAGCAGTGTCCATGCTCTATGGTGGTGCAACACACAGCTAGAGTTCACACAGCACACAAACTGTGAGGTCAACAACCATTTCCTCTGTTACAAAAAATAAGGCATGCCACTTGCACCCTGGCAACATAGTGAAATTGCAAAACTGATTCCCAGGTGGATAAAGCTTCAACCCAATTAATCTGATCTTTTCTGTGGTTCAAAAGCAATCTGCTTTAAATGAAAAAGTAATGCTGCAATACTATGTTAAAGATCTGATCTGGCTCTCACCCACGCTTAGGTCAACTCATTGTTTCATAGGTCTCAGAGCCAGGCAAGATTACTCAAATATGTTGCAAATTATAATAAAGGGCCAGCAAAGAACAGAATACCTGCTCTGTGTGTACCTACCTTTCTTTATTAGTTCAGCTAGACCTTCACAGCTCTTATGTAAGGCAGCCATTTTAAGTGACTTTCACCAGTGATTTCTGGGTTTTTTTTCTTTCTCTTTTCATTTAAGGAATGAAGGATGTTCACAAACATATCTTCCCTCTTATCTAAGTATGGTGTTGATCACAGAATTTGGTATGCTACAGACTTAAGCTCTTCAATAGCCAGTCAGCCACAGAGACCCAGCATATTCCATCAACTTAACACTTTATGATAATTTATGTTGAATTTCATAACATCAAATAATATTCGCACTTGTCAGAAGCTCTTTACACAGCTGAGAAGGAAAAAACACAGCTGTTACAGGAAAATTAATTTAAATCCAGCACCTTACCCCCAGTCAAGAAAGTTTGTGTCAAATAGGAAGCAGAATGAGTACCATCTTCACCCTTCTAGGAGTGTGCAGTAAACGCATTGTAACTAGGTCTCAAAGCTGGATCTCCAGCCTGTTGGATTTTGTCTCTTGTTTTGTTGACTACTTGACAGGCAAGATCTTGATGTCATGAACAAATTTTTCAATTTCAAAGGTATCTTTGGCATAACCCACACTGAAAAAATCATTTACACTGATGAAATTGTGAAAGTAACTTTTTCTTGTTGTTAGGCTATTGATACGGCATACTTCTATTAAATGAGGAATTCATTGAATATGCGATTTTCTCCACATCTGGAAAAACCTCCTAGAACTTGGAAATAACTATGGTTTTAGTGGCATCTGATAGCACCACGAGGCATTAACTAAGATCATGGACAATGCAAAGGAATGATCTATATGGTCCTTTTATCATCAAGATAATCATTAAGAATGTCTTTCTAATTTTCACCACTCTTAAGTATATGTGGTCTACAAAGGAATAACTAACTAGAGAAATAGAATCAAACTTCGTATTCAAAGTTATAGCAACTCTCTTTTGGCTTCTACATATTCCATGTGAAATAATCCATCCCTGACGCACTGTGCTCAAAAGCAATACTTTCATATCACCACAAAGAATCACCTTTCACAGAGTCTTGGAAATGCACTATATGGTGCTCTTGCCCTGTCTAACTTTCTTCACCAACTACTCCAGTTGCACTATTTAGCATAGGACAGTAGGATTTATACAGGAGCTGGTATGAATTAACAACAGCAATGGCCTTCAAGAAAAAAAAGAAAAAAATCTTGTCTCAATACTATGGTTGTTAAAGTAACCCTGAAGGGAATAAAAAGCCAAATGTAGAGAAAAGGAAGACTTAAAATATTTTGTTTAGCAAATGGAAAGGAGGTTATATTAGGAGAAGACTGAAACAGAAAAGTGGAAAAAAAAGATTACATGGAAACTTTCTCTTGCTCCCAGCCTCAGACTTTCTCAACTCCTTTTAATTATCCATGCCAGGGAGACACTGCTTCCTCTGCTGCTTGCTTTTCCTCTCAGAAATTTGAGCACTGGAATTCCACTCGCCTGATAAATTATGTATCAAGGTTAAGAATACTTCTATTTTTTTAACTATAGTAGTAATTCTGCCTGAATTTTGTTGTAGAAGACCTTGGAGTAAATGTTTGCAGTTAACTTCTTGTGTAAGCACCCTGAAAAATGAACCAAACAAAAAGACAGTGGAGCAGCATTACAAAAATACATAAATTATTCACATTTTGAACTTCACACACATAAGCTTGTTGGAAATGAAGAAGGCAACAAATGAGTAGCAATAGTGCTGTTGAAACAACCAAAGACACCTATATAGACATTTGGTTTTTATTTTTATAAAAAAAGATCAGATTTATTAGTGCCAATGTATGTTCATAGTAAGGAAACAGAAACTAAGCTAATCTGAGTAGCAACTTACATCAAAGGATATCAAAATAATATTTCTCGTAAGTGAAACATAATACTTCGTTTAAACTTGATTCTTGCCAACTAGAAGTCCTTGTTATCTATGAAGCCTTTAAAGAAAAGTTGCTACAGTCAAACAGGGTCCTGATAAAACTTGGCACAGAAAGAAACAATTCCATTTCACCCATTCAATACCTCTCACTCCCCTGGAGCACTCATTCATACAATACTTACATAATCCATATACATTATGACTAAAGCCATGTCTGGCCTAAAGCACATAGAATATCTCAGTTCTAAACGTAACACATCTCTACATCAAAAGCAGGTCATTGTATTTACAGCAGATGATCTCGCTCTGCAGATGGAGCTTTCACTTGAAGATCCTTTTTTTAGTGTACACTAAGATGTTTAAGTCATCGAATTATTTATCAAATTAGAGGTGTATCTACAGGAAGATCTGTCTGACCGTGTGCGAGGATTCTAAGGCAATAGTAGTAGTTGTTCCACAGGACTAGTGCTGCCGTTGTAACTCATTCTCCGTTGGAGCAGTAAAACCTTCCTTCTCCAGATGCAGCCAGGCATAGTGAGACATTCATGATCTGCAAGCTGTTGGCTCAAAAGACTAAAACTTCTTGGTTTGTTTTTAATGTTCATGGAATAGCACCATAGGAATTCACTCAATAACAAAAAAATCCTGGGTCTGTTGTTCTGATTTGCTCTTTTCACCATCACAGATACTATTACTCCCAGAAATAAAAACCCTCTTTGGGAAACCTCCCTCTTGGATACCACTGCAGCTTCATTTCTGAGTAGCTAAACCAGACAATTAGTTCATTCACAAAAGAGGTCCATAGAAATAAAGCTTAGTAGTGGCTCCAAATGCACTGTTGAGAACAAATTCAGTAGGAGGAGTTTCATATGATCTTTGACTATTTCTGTTTCTCATGGATACAGATTTCGATTCAGGACAGGTTTTCATCTCAGTCTTTCTATGATCAGTGCAAAATAAGAGCACATCGTCAGAGATAGCTTACTTAACTAGTAAACCAAACATTTTATAGATGCTTACACTGTTCAAATTCAGACAATTAGTGATTAGTCAACTAGTGACCGACGTAACAGTTCAGACTTCCGCCATTAGTAAAACAAAATACTCTAAAGATCAGTTATGTTTCAGAAGTAGGATTTTCCAGTTTCAAAACACTGTTAACCTGATATGACAGATGAATTTGTAAAAAATACAGAACAATGCAGGAAGACCTTCCCATTTCATATCTTCTTTCAAGTCCTTGTACACACCATATGCAGGATATAAAGTCAAAGCAACTAGATATAAGGACAGTATTTTGATTGTGTGACCTGAAAGAGCTTTTTTTTTTTCTTCCTGGACACCATACAATTGTCAGAAGGAAGAATAGTCTGAAGGGTCACTTCCCCTGAATGCAACCGGTTGAATCTGCACGCATCTAAGACAAATGTCAAACCATGAACAAAAGCTTTTCTATTCTCACTGCATGCAAAGTCCTTTCACAAGCTTCGCAGCAACAGTCAAGTATGGAGCCTTCACATCATCATCTTGACTACTCCACCGGTTCTTTTTTAATTTTAGTTCAGTCTCTGGTCTTATGGGTCATCATTTCAACTGAACTCATATAAAACATTTGTGCTAATAACTGCAGTTCCAAAAAAAGACACGCCTTCATTCCTTTCCACTGTGCGTTCTTTTTTTTCTCACTCTCCTTTTCTGGCTTAGAGGTTCTTGTGTTATTTTTTGGTGTGCACACTATCTGGATATTTTATACTTCTGTATCGTATATGAAATCCTTTCTTGTTGATCGTATCATCTGTATGAAAGTGAAGTAAAAGAGCCTCCCCTGCTGAATAGATTTCTTCTGGTGGCTAAAATAAATGAAGAAACAAATAAATTATCTGTCCACTCTGTGTATTTATCCCCCTCACTCACAATTTTTTTTCTTTTTTTTTTTTTTTGGTCATATAATTATCATGTAATTCCATTGGGTCTCATATGGTGCCATCTGACATCATCAGACAAAATATATCTATGCCATTCAGCTCTCAATTATAGGCTAGGAAATTTTGATGCAGACTGAGGAAATGACAGTCTAAGCTCCTAAAAGCTGGAGACCAGTTTAAATCATGATGCTTGAATTTTTATCTGCTGGCAGAAGTTTTGAAATTCTCTATTATTGTAACTTTCTGCTTTTATATTAATGCGCACTCTTTTAATCTTGAGGTCTGGGCCTGAAAAAGCATCTTTTCACACAATCTAAATAAACGTGTCATCTAACTTTCTGAATCTGACTTAACTTCTTCAATTTGTATGAATTATCTCCACGGTCTTTTATACGAGACAAAGAAAACAAAGCTCCTTCTTCTTTTGTCCTTCCCAGATGTCTTCTACAGTTACTGCTAGAATCATGTAAGTGACTGGGCAGGACCATACACAATATTCTAAATTTAGATAAACAACAGACTCCAGTACCTATTTTCTGTCTTATTCATAGCACTCATGATGGCCTGGTCTATTACTGAAGCACATCGATCAGAAGTACCAGCTGAACTAGGAAGTCCTTTTTCTAAATTTGACAACAAGGTGGTAATATATATTAATAGTGCCTTTTTTCCACTTCAGTTTGGATTATTTTGCTTTCAGTAACTTTTCTATTTAATTTTGTCTTTTCTATATGGCCTCTGAAGCCAGTCATCCATACCTCACCAGAAGCAAACCAAAACAACAACAAAACCCAACCACCACTACCCTCCACCCCACAAAAGAAAAACTGAATTCAGCCCAAGGGTGGGCCAGCCTTCAGTTTGCTGTCCTTCTACTTGAAAAACAGGGCAATCTCCAAAGAAAATTATTGTTTTGTGTAAATTAGTAGATACTGGGCTCAGTTGTAGCATTTCGCTTAGAATATACTGCCTAGAGGTTCAGTGGTAGCACAGTTCCTGTATCTTTAAGTGTTCAAAAATGCCCTAGAAGGATATAAGCCAACTTACAGGTAACTTGTCCGAATGACTGAGATGTTTGCTTCAGCACTGTGGCCGAATCAAAAAAGTGGCACATGGTTAATTAAGAGCTCCTATCATCTCATGTAGAGCCTTTCAAACCTTTTATCTAGGCAAAGAGTGTATGTATGAAAGTGTGCTTGCATTTGCACATGCATAAAGAATTGATAAGGATGAGTGGGATCATTGCACCAGCTTTCACAAGGCAGGCAGCCAACATAACAATGCAAGTCTAAAAGGAGAAATAGGATACATCCTTTTCAGGATGTCACCTGGCCAATTTCCCCCATGTCTCACAGTTAAAACAAGTCAGAGTTGCATATGGAACGACAGGGCTTTCTTAAGGCCCATATTAATCACACATTTTAGGAGCACTTTTTTCCTAAAATCAGATTTAAGTAGTAGATCAGCATATTATAAATGCTTCTCAAGCACTCCTCCCTCTGTAAAAAGTGGCTTCTTCATTCAAATTGAAGGAATTTTAATATGATAATTTTCAACACTGGTGCATTTCTCTTTCTGCATGGGAAAATGTATGGTAGCTATTTTTTGATTGCTGATTAACACTCCACTGTCAGCTACCTAAAGCTTAGCATAACATTACAATACTTTGGTCAAGAACTAGACAAGAATATTTATCGTTTAAAATATTTCAAGGGAATACTTGTACTACAAGCCTGCACATTTCTATTAAAAAAAATAAAAAAAACCTTAAAGCAGATAATCTAGTATCTTCATTGTAGCCTCATCCCTTCGTAACCCTTTCCTTCCTCTGCCCTGTCTTTCTTTCTCTTTTTGTTGTGCAAATGAAAAGGTCGGTACCTGGTTACTTACCCCAGATCCACAAAATCGACCAAGTCTCACAGCTGTCTTATCATGACCATCAAAGAGCTCCACATAATCGTAACCACAGTCTGCCTCTTCTTCAACCTCAAATGTCTGAAACATTAACTCAACTCGATAGCTGTGCTCTGCCACCAGAAGCCAGTCGCAGTCTGCCTGAACTGGATAGTTGTTATCACCAAACTGAGCATGCGAGTACAGATCTTTGGGCTTGGTTTCAGCTTTCAGCCGACCACCACACTCTAAACAGATGGGAGAAGAAAAAGGGATGAAGAAGCTTATTCAGTAAGTCTTAGTTGCGGGTTTTTTTAATAGACACCTAGCCTTATTCAGGCATTCTTATGCATCAAGCAGGTCAATCAAATAAGGTGCAGAGTGAAGTACTACTCAGCATGAACACAAATCCATCATTCTGAGGTTTTCCTCTATAAATTCTTTTTTATAACTACAGAGGCTTGAACATATTTCATGATTTTCAAGTGGAAGACAAAAAGGCAGGGAACATCAAAGTTATAAGGAATGGGGTTCAAGCTGTAGGACATTCTTTGGGTAGGCACTTGAGAGGTGGCTGTGATCAGCAAGGCAAGTGCTGTAAGAGGGGCATCCACACTTCAGGGGTGACAACGTTTCTGCATGGGTTAACAACACTGTTTGCAAGTGGCTGGGGAGAATCAGCTCTAGCACACATGTAGTCAGCCTTCAAGTGCAAAAGTCTTGAGTTTCATAGAATTGTTAGCTTTAACCGTCATGTAAGCACCTGGAGAGCCAGCTCTATACTAAACACCACTGCCAAGCTCACTAGCTTGCTTGTTACGTGGTTCATGGACATGAACAGCTCTTTCCTGTGCTAAGGACCCCAGAGCTGAGTTCAGTACTCCAGGTGGGACCTCATGAGGCTGGAGTAGAGGGGGAGAATCACCTCCCTCGACCTGCTGGTCATGCTCCTTTTGATGCAGCTGAGCGTATGGCTGGCTTTCTGCGCTGCAAGTGCACATTGCCGGGTCATGCTGTAGTTCTTCTCACCAACCAAGAGCCCCAAGTCTTTCCTGTCCTACTTTATCCCTTAAGAATGAAGTATTGGTTTTAGAAATTAAAAGCCAAATTTTCAAGTTCTTAAGTACTAACTTGTGGTTTCAAAAGTCTACATCCAGCCTGCACAATGCGGCACTGCATTAGGATGTGTGGGACAAGCTATGGTGAGTCTGTACAGAACAGGGAAGTGCCACACAGTACCAGTTGCTTTGCCTGATACCAGAAGTAACCTAGCTGTACCACCCATTGTGCTTTCCATTACACAGGTATGTCTGCTCTGCTGTAGGTGTGCTGTACACATCTGACTATAAAGAAATATACCTGACTTGTAAAATGCTGTTCATCTTTAGGTGAAAGACTTTTTTCTAGATCAGCTAAGGAATAAAAACCCTCTCTTGTTTCCTGATCTTTCTAGTGGCTGTTCAGGCTTCTGACAAATGCAACAGCAAATCAAGCAGTATTCTTTTGACTGTTTAAGAAGCTGGACAGATGGGAAAAACTTAAATCCACACTATGTGAACTAGTGAAATATATTACAAATTTGATCCAGCATTGCCATACCAAATTATCAGTCATTTTGGAAGTGATGCAAGATCCTAAACTGAGTGACATCTGAGATGTCCAAATTTGTCAGAGACATTCTCACAGCATTGACAGACAGGAATAGGGCCTACAGCAGACCTGCAACCTCCTGCAGGTGGGTGGAGGCCAGGCACCATAAATGAAGCCATCCAGAAGGGAAGGAGATGCCTGTGTTGCAGCACCCAAATCACACCCTGAACAATGGTGTTTAATGTTCTGTCAGGAGCATTTTTATAAATTCCATCTGGATGGGTTACGCCTTTCCTGAGAGAGGAAAATATAACAGAATGTTTCTGTAAAACTGTATTGCAATTTAAAACAGCATTTTATAAGTTTTTGCTCCACCAGGGAAAGCCTTTCTATCCAGTCTATTTTCTGAAACTTAACTGCCTTTTGCTGCTATGGTTTTATCCTGTTTTCTGAAATATTCAATGGAAATTTGGAATTTCGATAGTATTTCAAGCCAAAAAAGTTTTAACAGAAGGGAAATCAACATTCTACTAGAATAAGAGGCCATTAAATTACGAAGATGCCAGGAAAACAGCACCACAAACATCTTTAGGCATAGCATCCAGTTACTTCTTCACTGCTGTTCCATTACACCAGTCCTTCTACTGAGTGAGTTTTGCCAACAGCTTAGAAGTGAAGGGAGCAGCTTCCTCAGCTCTCTGTTTGTCTGCACAGCTGTACAGGATTGAGTGCAACCTTCCCTACTTCCATTGCACACCATCAGTTATTGTTTGCTAGAAAAAAACCTAAACAAGAACATACAATCCACTGTCCATACACTTGTTAGATATCTATTCACTCACATGTACGTCCAAAGTACAGAGGTAAAATTCCCATGAAGCATCTGTGTTTGCCTCAAGTCTACAGGAAAAGGCTGCAAGATCAAACCCTACCTCAAAGAACATGCTGGTGATGCCCTGTTCAAATTAGTGAGCATCTTGTGCAACAGCAGTTGACAGAAATAAATAACCTCTGTTAAGGAGGCAAATTTTATAATTTTTAAATTCTTATAAACTGGGCAGATTTTATTCTTCAGACTTTCTCTAAAAAAAAAAAACCCCAATCAAACGTAGCTATTTGTGCTAAACAAAGCACTATGATGCATGCTAAGTAAGTTTTTCCAGTTCAGGAACATAAAACCCAGTAGATATGAGGGAAATTCCAGCAAGTTATAACATAACTGATGTTATAACATATTTGAACTCTTTTCCCATAGCTACTGCTCCAATCTGCAAATTGAAAGTGAGAATAATAAACAAGACAGTAGTTTTACAACACCTGTTTCTAACAAGAGTTCTGATCTTGAACTATTTACCCTGAGGTAATTTAAAAATGAGTAATTATTACCATTTCTATCTAATTTTCCACCTAAGGGAAGGCAAACAATGGCATGCTTGTAAAGGGAATTTTCCATAAAAAAAGCCAAACTGAATTACAGGTAACTAAGCTTTTCAATTTCCAGGCACAGATCATGAAAAGTGAATAGTTCACCTACTGTTGCCTACTGTTGTTCTCTGAAAGGGAAATTAAATTAATAAAGTTTCAGAATTATTCTTAACAAAGCAGAAGAAAAAAAAAAGAGAGAAATGCTAACACTGATAATGAGGATTTGTTGGCTGAGTGCTGCACATCAAGTTGATGAAGAGTCTGGGTAATATCAAATTACATTATCAGTTACTGATCACCTCGATTACTATCTTCTGCTAATAACTGTTATGTGACAGTAAACCTTACCTACCAGCACAAATAGTTATATAATTTTGTCTACATTAATATTTATTGCCAAATACTGGATGAATAAGAATGAACTTTGGACAGACGGACGTTATGGCTGAAAAAGAGAATTAAAAAACCCCACCCCCTCGTTTTATAGCAGGCACTGGAAGTTCAGAGATTCAGCACTAGGGGCCACTGTAAGCCAAGCAACGTCGGGGAAATTGCGCACACTCTATGAAAATGTACCAAGAAATCTATTAATGCAGTTGCAAAACACTATTTTCAGTTTCAATGATTTCTGACAAAGAACAAAATTAACTGGTAAGTATGAAGGAGATTATATTGCTAAGATCCTAAGAAGTCTTCAATATTGTTTTTTCTTATTTTTCTTTGTCTTGTCTTTCCTTTTTGTCTTTACAGGAAAGTTACAGCTGTTTACACAAAACCCAGACTTTTGTTTATGTTAGAACAGGAAAGTAATGGAGGAGCAGCACATGTCCCGGTCCCAGTGAAGTACTTCCATTACAAATACAATGAAAAACTATTGAATCTTTTACAAATTAATGGCATGAATCTTAAGAAATATATCTTTGATTGTCTACATAAATATGTTCTTCTTAGGCGTCTTTGTTCCAAAATCTTGTAATAACTTACCTATATGAAAGAGGTAGAGAAAGAGAGAGGAGAAAGAAACATCTACAATATCAGAGAATACTTTCTGCAATCTCAGACTTTTTCTGCTGTCCTTAAGGTTTCATTAGATTTAGTTGTAACATTGTCTTATCTGTTAATTCATCAAGGAATGCTGAAATATCTTCCACTAAAGAACAAAGAGGAAGTTATTAGTAAAGCACATCCTGATTTTCTGACCTGTAGAGTGCGTTGCTTGGAAGCCTTTTCTTTGAACCGATGCATCAGAAATAAAGCGGAGAAACATTTTGTTTCCAGTAGCAATAAGAGGATCTGGTATCTTATTGCCGCATAACCGTCCCAGAATTGGTGCTTTTTCACTTTCACCATCAAACACTTCCAAGTGGTCATAAGCACATTCTTGATGTTGTTCTATCTCAAATTCATTGAAGATCTGAGGGGGGGGAGAAGGGGGAACAACACAGAAAATTACTTAATGTAGTACTGTGTTTACACTACTTACATGGTACATGCTACATATGTACTGTTAGTCTGTTTCAGAATACAAAGCAGATGTAGTTGACAGATTTAACATTACTGCCCCTACATGCCTGTAGCTTTGAGTAACATACTGATTTTGAGAAAGTGGAATAACAATCAAGACAGTGAATTTTAAGAGGGCATCATCCTTCATATAGAAAGGGATTAGAATCTTTACAGCCAGTTAACATGCATATTAAATCTAGAACACAGTGGCCTTGCTGTTGAATTTGCAGTTTATAGGATTGCTCCAAATTTCACAGAACATTTAACAAAGCAAAAAGCTGAAAATTATTGGTTCCTCAGATAGTTGACAATAGACTGAAACGTCTGCAAAACATAACGCACCCTCCTTTTTTTTTTAAACTCACCACACACCGCAACTAAAGCCTTTGAGAATGACCTTTCCACGTGAGTGCTTATGCATGAAAGTTGTATTTTCTAACCTATTTTCTAGAGATCTATTTTTCATTATTATAACACTAACAGTACTTCAGGCTACACCCTTCATGCTAAGATCACATTTTTGCTAGCAAAATCATCGGAAAAATTGCAAAATTATGTTGATTGTTTATTGAAAGAACTTCAGCAAACTTTTTTGCTGTCCTCAGCTCTTCCAAGAAAATTCAAATTGCTGCCATAGCTTGATCACAAACTGGGACTCACAAACTTTATTTCATTTTGAATCTGTGATGTTTCTTCTACACTTCAAAACATTTATCTTACTTGCTGAGCTCTTAAAGATTTGAAGTCTCTCTCAGTGCTCATGGCAGCTTGTAAGGACAAATTCAAGTCTATTAAAAATTCTAAATTGCAGGTCCTTTGCAGCAGAGCCTGGCCAACTTACTTTTAAAAACTTTGGAATTTATATTTCTCAAACTCAGCATATGCCATATCCTACAGAAACTGTTGAAAACCATACAACTAATACCTGCTTTTCAAATATGGAAGAGTGTCTTCTGAGACTGGACTGGTATCAACAAATTTATTTCAAGGAGATACCCAAGAGATTTCAGGTAAGACTTTTTGACAAGGGCTAAATTTCAACAATAAACATAAACCTTAAAATCCACTAATTTCTTCTCATGTAAACACTGAGAAGGCAATACACATATAAACCTTTGTGAATTTTCAGAAATAACCTACAATTTAAGGTGAAATTCAAAATACGTTTTGTTCAACAAAATAGCATAAAAACACTAAGTATGAATGCTCCCATGAGTAGTTAGTTATACACCTGATCGTTTCTGGAAAAAAAAACCCAAAACCAACAAAGAAACCCTCCTTAACCCCCAAAAAAGCCCTACTAAAGGATTAAGAAGCAATAATTAAAAATAACAAAACTGAGCTGTCAAATACTAAGCAAGTATCTAGTGTACCAAAGCAAATCTGACTTACTGAATCCTTTGTGGAATCCAGCCAGTGTGAAATGTGATGGTAATTTATATTAACGGCTGAACTAAAGGAGCTATAAAGAGCTAACACAAAGTCTTTTGCCCAAAGAAGTGGAATATTCAGAATAACATTTTTGTTTTGCGAAAAGTGAAAAGTTGCATGATGCAGTGGATGGAGATTCATTTCACAGGAAAGCTTAGGGGCTTATCTTAAGGGATTGAAACTGCAGAGGCAGTGAAAACAGCTGTACAGCAGTCCCTTCTGCTACTCTTAAATTATAGTCAGCCATCCTACTTTTATAATGCCAAGTATGTGTTGTCATTTATACCCAAATAAAACCTGATAGGTTAAAAAAAAAACAAAAACAAACCCACAGAAAGAAGAGAGACTAACTGTAAGGGAGTTACTTAAATATAGAATTGAGTCAAGCCAACTTGGAATCAATGGGAGCACTAGATGTGATCCAAAAGCAGCCTGCAGAACTACATTTTCTTTTAGAGGAAAATTATATCAGATTTGTTCACTTCTCATCAGTACAAAAAAGTCATTCTCTAGGAAACAGTTCTCACAATGAACTGCAAGACACACGTATTATTTTTAACATCTGACTTATCACTGGGATTCCCAAGTCTGCAGGAGGACATACTTGTTATATTGGGTCCCACAAACAGCAGAAAGAAATCCTAAACCTGTCGTGCATCTAGCAATTGACTCTAAAAATTACAAAGAGAATCAAAGGAATTTTTTTTAAAAAGGAAAAGCAGATCTTAGTATGAAGTCTTTTAAGAGCTCAAAATGCCTGACAGTTCAAAACACTCAGAGACGATCTCCATTTTTTAAAAAAGAGGTCAGACTAACAGCAGGTTTGAAAGAGGAGAACTGACACACACTTTCCTTAAAGCTGAATATAACTGAATAGTTGCTGCCAACAGAGTTCACGGATAATTTAATAAAGTTTTTAGTATAATTAAATCACACTGTCTTCTATTATATCACACTTCTTCAGACTATTGACAAATACTTTTGAATACCCACCCCACCATGACTACAGTCCCCATTTTGATTGTCTTATAAGAGGGAATGGTATTCAGAAATGTTACACATAGCTTCTGGACATCCAGCCCTTTCTATCTATAGCACTCAACAGGGTAGATACGTTGGTGGCACTTATGGATAGCTGCCTGAATGGGACACTTAAGTCTGTCTCTTATAAACATCCCGCTGATTAGCTTATGAAAATTGCTCTCTCTGCTACATACATTTTCAAAGACATCTTTATCTACACGTTTCATTTAAAAAATTCTGAAGTGCATGTCCATTTTTTCATAAGCTGCCTAATTATACTAAATGCTTAACTTTAGCCTTTCAGGAAGAGACTTTTCAATGCTTATCAGAATAAGAGCAATCACAACTAAAGATTAGTTTCTGTACTCACACCCCTCTCAAAAAACTGAATATAGGCTTACAATTCATGTGGTTTGTTACCAGGAAGAAATTGTTTCTCTCCTTGTTCAACTTGACTAAGTAAACTGTGACAAGTAAACTTAAATACAGCGTAAAAGTCCAAGAAAAAAATATTTAGCCATAGCGGAAGTATGGTATTAATATTATTCAAATAGCATTTTGCTGTACTAGACTTTATAGATACTATACATATAGAATTTAGTTGATTTGCCCTACTGGTTTGCACAGAAAAGTGGATTTCAGATTCTAAATTGTGGATGGTTTTTGTTAAATTCTGTCTAATTTTTCCAATTTCATTGGCAAAAGCAAATTTAAAAACCTTTTCTTGTAAAATAGATGATGCGATATTTCACTGAAGAAACCCGAGTGTTAGAATTTTGCCTGCTGAGGTTAAAAGAACTGAAAAAGCTTTTACAGTAACATGCCCATGCCTGGCTGGCTTTGGTTTATTCAGCCAGGATGGAAGAACACTTGCTCAGAAGTAACAGTAGGAAGGCCGCCTGAATCATAAACCTGTTTTGCACCCTTTAAATGGACAGAGTATGCACACATCCCCCAGAACAGTTTAACCATTTTAATTCTGGTGAACAGGAATCAATACATGATCCCACATCAGCACTTCTGCCTCTCTGAAGCAGACATCTTTCTTCTTCAGTTTATTTGCTCCAAAACATCTGTTAAATCAATTTATCAGATTTTAAAATACGTAAGGCCAGCTTTTGTTGTGGGTGTCCCTGAGTACTTTGCCTGAAGTAACACTGGGGCTGAGCTCAAAGCAGAAAAGCCCCCTGGGCAGGTCTGTACCTTCAGCTGTGTAACCTCAATAGAACTGCAAAGGTCTCTAAGCTCTACTAGCCTGTCTTCAGGCACCAGCACTGTTCTCAGCCAGCTGGACACAAAGGTCACTTAAGCCTACTTGGGCAGCTTTTATACCTATGTTAAAATCTGGAGCCACTTTTAAATGGAAAGTCCAGTTTCCTGGGTTTTGTATCTTCTTTTCCTCTTCAAAAATTACGGAACAGAAATGCAGAAGGTGTGTGGAGAAGACTGTTCATAACTTCTAATTTTGCTTATTCTATATGTTGGAGTTTGCAAAAATAGCCTCTGCCATATTTGTTAAAGCTTTATGTAAATTTTATGAATTGCAACAATGGTACAGTAGAGTCTGAAAGGAGGAAAGTATTCCTCCTGCCCTTTGCTATCCAGAGTATTTACAATCACGACAAACTTAAATTCATAGCTCTATGATAATGAGTAGCCCCAGTTGGCCAGGAATGGACAAGAGTCAGTGGATTTTTAAAACAGTTTACCTCTGGGCTGCAAACTGATAGTAAAGTTTAGTAACAGTCATTTGAGAGCAGATTTGGTGGAAATAAAGAGAGAAAGGAAGAGTAAGCAGATACTCACCAACTTGACCCTCTGCCCGGGGGTGGCACTGATTTCCCACGTGCACTCCTTTCTGCTGGGATACTTGTCAGGCCAGTTGGGACTCGTGATGATGCCATTGGGACTATGGATCTTCTGTTCACACTCAGCTGTGCCAACAGTGATAGTATCAGTTAGTCTGAGGGTTTGATTCAGAGGTAGCCAGAAAATACCCTATTTTGTCAGGGAACCCGTGGAATGGAAAGGATCTTTAGGACGACAGCTAAGCACTATCTTTTGTGTGCACAATCACGTTCTTCCCCTTTGGCACACACTTTATGGAAATGAACCCAGCACACCTGTTTACTGATTACTGTGAAACATATACTGCTATTTACAATGGATGGTGCTTTTTTTGGAAAAAATTGATAACGGAATGAACGTAAGTATTAAACCAAAATATTCTGCTATTCCTGCCACTCTACATACAAGTATGAAAATCCATATGAGAAATCTTGCTACTCCAGCATCAAATGGTATGTCTTGAACAATTTATTTTAATCTCTTCTCAGTAATTTTTATACTGGAGATACAGAGCAATCATTCTGATTTCTAAACCAGTTTTTAGGGACATATATACCAGTAGAGAACAGCTAAGACTAAACAAGAACAGCTTAGTCCTTCACTCCCTAAGTGCATCACTAGAAGTGCATCTCTGCAAATACATACAAACAAAACTTAAAGAAGGCAAGAAAGAAGCTAGTTTAATTTTTGCATTTAGTTCTTTAACAATCTCAAATTCCTTTATAAATATCAGAGAATTATTCAACAAGAATCTTTTAGAGCAGACAAGTATAATTTCAACACCAGTGAAAATGCAAATGACTCACAAAGGGCATATCTTTACTCGCAAATTAAATCCGTGTTAGAACACAGCCTTGAGAAACTGCAGTAGCTCACATGATATTGCACGCTTGAGATTCATTAGCAGATAATCTGAATTCTACGTAAACTGCAAAGCCTACTGTTTTCTTGGAGGTAGCCACACCTTGAGACAGGAAATAGGAAGAAAGTTGTACAGGGTCTTGACTGGAATTCAGTTTCTCTGAATATGTCCCCTAAAATAATCCTAGAAAGGGCAGATAAAGTTTCAACCTGACTGCAAGGAAACTAACTACTACTGATAGGAGCAAATGACAAGTTTACTAGGCTTCTCTCCAGAAATTTTATCCCAGTGGTTAATGCAGCATTTATTACAGCTTTAAATGTTCTACACTTCACAGAACTATTAAAAATAGCACACCCTGCCAATGATCCCAAGTTTTCCAAACTGCATTCCTATGGACCTCAGACTCAGCCACACACCAATGGAGGGGTTGGGAAAGGGAGGGCAAAGGAGTGTTTAAGCCCAAATGTCTAAACCCCCATTACCAAGATCATTTTCTTTCCTTTCTTTTCTTTGGAAGGAGAGCTGCAGGGAGCTTTCTGAAAACAGTTGTATAATTAACTGTTCAAATACCTTACTACTTACCCTCCTTGCAGTCATGTTTGTTTTCATGTAGCACAAATCCATTTCGGCACTGGCAAACATAGCTTCCTACCGTGTTGATGCACTCGTGCTGGCAGCCACCATTGTCCTTTGAACACTCATCCTTGTCTAAGAAATACACAACAAGGTCGGGTGAGCATCAGACTAGCAGTAGTCCCCATTACCAAAAACAAAAAGGTCTAGCACAGTGTTTCAAGAAAAGGATAACCTAAGGCACAGTCACTCTTCTCAGCATGGCATTTCATGGTACCTTAGTTCTAGCCACTCATTGCTCAGCCTACAGTTTTGCACCATGGCACAAACAGCCTGACTCATCTTTCTAGGAAATGAGAGGTAGTTCCTTAGAGAGAGGAACAAACAAACAAGCTAAATCAAAGGACGTAAGACAGCTACCAGCATTTGGTCTTTCAAGTAATCTAGCTGGTAAAAAAATCATAAATATCCAAAGCTTTATTTCAGTAAGCAACAGGGGTGTAATCTATGGACAACACAAAGTATTCCAAATTTATGCAAATTCCACAATTTAATGGTGGTATGTTGAAAGGAACATGTAGGACAAAAAATGTTTCAAGCTGCACTAAGAAGGATTTAACATAAACTTTTTTGATAAGTTGATTTTTTCCCCCAGCAGAGTGACCGTGTGCTTTACTTTTAATGAATCTGGACAGTACAGAACATCACAAAAGGAAAGCATTTTATTGAAAAACATACAAAAGAAATTGGCATTAGTTATTTCAAGAAGATCTACAATATAGCATGCAGTTCTGTTTATTAAGATATAATCCTTCATAAGAGCTTTTTAGCATGTTAGAAATAAAGCAGAGAGTCGGGAAGGAAATATGACCTCCATTAAACAGCTACAAATTCACTGCATGGACAGAAGCCAAACTAGATTAACAGGCTGTCATTCTAGCAAGAGGCCTCAGCTGCCACCCTTCTATGTCATTCAGCTGTTGTCATTTTAGGTGAGGCTGGTCCATTTGAAAGAGACAGACTGCTCCTGACATATACATATACATGTGTATATGTATGTACATGTATATATCTATATATATATGTATAGACATAGATATAAATCCTGAAATGGAAAAATGCCTATATATATATATATACACACACACACACAAACACAATTTAAAAACCTATCTTACAACATGTGTTATTTCAATATGAAATAGAGGGGAGGAAAAAGAGCCAAAATTGTGGATATCCCACAGGTCCAGCTGCTGCAGGGCTGGAATGCAGACCACTCACCCTTCTGCCTCATGTACCTTGGAAAGCAGCAGTGTTATCTCCAAACACAGTAACATGCAGAGTTTCAGAATTTAGTCAGCACAGTAAGAATTTCTATAGATTACAAACCCCTATGGATAATTAAAGTCTCTTTTCATTGTCTTATTCATGCATTTTTTCCCCTGCCCTTACTTATGCTCATATTTAGTAACACGACAATGGAAGTTTACATTATAAATGCATACACATCAGCTTTATCTGCCAAAGCATATGCAACACTTGACCCGTTGACTTGCAGGTCTTTCCATAAAAATCAGCTCCTACTTAAAATACATGACGATAATGTACATTTACAGATAACTTCTGCAAGTCAAACCCAAGCATCCACTGCGTTTTGCCCTGTAAATCTCAAATCTGTTTGCACTGAAAGTTTTTGAAAGCTTCCTGCAGATGCGAACAGATTTGAAAGTTAAGCAGCAGTCAAAACCTTGGTAGCTTCCAGAATCATACATCCAAAAGCTTATACTACTTGTCATTTCGATTATGAAAAAAGCATAAAAGCTCCACAATACACTGTTTATGCCCCATGCAATGCAAGTCCCAAACTGAGGTAGTAAATCTATTTCATTACAAACAAAAGTTACAATCTTTTATCTTTGCAAAAGCAAGCACTGTCATAAATAATTCCATGTTGCAAGTGAAGAACAGGAACAAGCAAATGAGAGATTAGATATAATACAAACAAAACTCTTCAATATTTCCCCAACTTAGCATTAGTTTGTAGGTTTCTACCAAAATAGCAAAATAAATGGAAGGCAAGCTCAAAATGCATTCAAGTTAGGCTTTCAAGCATAGAGTAGGTTCACAAATTCTAAATAAAAGCCCTGTCCATTTTCATCTTCCTCCAAGCTGTGTGAAAATACTGAAAAGTATTTTAACATTAAATAAGCTTTTATTCAATAAAATAATCTCTTAAGAGACAAGTGCACAAGCAAACAGTCCCATTTTGGACCTTCTCAGAGATCAAACAATGGACAGAAGGTAGAAAGGAGAAGCTTTCTGAATTTGAACTACAATGATTGCTTGTGCATGGTTAATCAAGGATGCAACTGTTGAACGAGCCTTCCTCACACTTCATAATTCAGAACAGACTTTCTGTCAAATTGATCCCCCAGTTTCATGAAAAAACCCCAATTAGTCTGTATTAGTTATAGGAACAAATGTTTTGCCATGTAAAAACAAAGCCATTTGTTAGGCTGGCAGATGGAAATGAGTCTCCCGATTTGAATGGATACTTTCTTTTCTCATTTTAGTACTCAGAAGAGCGAAAGATCCATTCTCAACAAAATGTTAGATTGAATCATTCAGAGGACAAATAGTCGTACCTCTGAGACCCTCAGAGGCCACCAGTCTGTGAATAATACGTACTCGGCCTGAAGGGACCTGTATCAAGTCCTTGCAAGATTCAAAAACAAAAATTTTCTCTTTGCAGGCAGCTTTCTTGTCTGTGGAAAAAAATGTACCAGGATGGCACCAGAGATGAGTTTGTGCTCTAAAACAAATTTGCTCAAGGCTGGAAACATTCTAGCTTTCTCAACTGCTCAGTGAATCATCACCCAAGAAAATATATGTTCCAACAAAACTTATTTTTATATTACATCAAACACAATGTATGTTTTGAATGATCGTGTTTAGAATCATGTTTATTTAAAACACTGAAGTAACCTTAAAACTTATGATAAGTGGAAGCAGTTTAGTGACATACTATCACTGGGTATTAATCATACCACTATACAAAGACTGATTTAAAGAAATCATTAACCTATCTTCTTGGAAACATCACAGGGTAAAAAAATAATATATTACTGTTATCTTTTTTCCATCCTAATGTAAATTCATGGAGTTATTTTATGGGCCAAGCAGACTCCAATAGTTCACTGTCTTGTAACAAAGCAGGACAGAGTGAGAGGAGGGCAGAAGAAAAAAAGAATAAAAACCTAATTACTGAAAGCTTTTCCTTTAGAAGCCTAATATCTAATTAAAAAAAATTATTAAAAGTTTAAAAAAATTAATATAACATGACTCCCTTGTTTCTTCTCTTTATCCAAGAAACTAGATTATAAATACACAAAAGTGTCTCTGGAGATTAGCTATATCCCTGCGATGGCTCCCAACTGAGCTTCCTTCAGAACTGTCCCATCAAATGTAAATTTTACAGAATGTTGAATAAAAAAGTTTTTCTCACTTTCCAGTAGCACCTGTCTGGCTGTTAACACCATTTTACAGCCAAAAATGTAATTACATGTTGTCTTATAGCAACATAAATACCTTCCTAAGGCGGGTCATCTGTTGCCCTATGCCACTGTTTGCTTTCACAGTTTATCACAGTGGATTCCAACCACCCAAAAACTGCTTTCTGTCATCTGAGCTGGAGCTGGGCCATGCTTTCTCAACTATAGCTGTGGGTGCAGAATTCATCACCAAAAGGAGTTCTAGAAAAAGAAGTTCTTCGGCTGTGCTTGAGGAACACATTACAGTGCTAATATTAAAACTAATTTGATTTATCCACCTGTCTCTCTTGCTGTGCATTACATATGCCCTTTACTGGTTAACAGACTTCAAGACGCAGTGTTTTACTAATTCCTGATTTTTTTCATGGTGCATGCCTTTATAACCAAATGCTTACACATATTCCTACTGTGATTTAATTAATAAAACTGTTAAATGCCTTCCAGCCGGTATTTTAGACAGTAGCACTAAGCATTTCTCCACAGACATCCTTCTAAAAGTATCATACTCTGATAGTATTCTGAAGACAAGTGTATAAATAGGGAAAAAACCCCCCACTTCATCAGCTGAAAATCGATCAGGTATCAACTCCCAGTAATCAAAACACTTAAGTCTCAAGTCTGTTCTTCATTGACAGACCAATAGAATATTATGTCTGTACTAAGGGATTCAGGGGTAAGAAAGTTAATGAGTTTTCGGACAGCCATGAGAGTTTTGTCTCATGAATTATTCAGAGATGACAACTTCTTTCTAGATACTTTAGGTTCAGAAGTTTGTCTCAGGCACTACAAAGTTTCTGTTTTAATCAGGAAATATGTAAAAAAGGGAAAAACCAGATAACACAGAAGAATAGAATCTGCTAGAAATGGTTAACAACTGGAAGAGAATTGAGAAAAAATAAAAATAAAATTCAAAGTATCTGAATCCATATGAAATTGGAGAAAAGACTATGGCAGATCTGCATTTGAAGCATTCAGTAAAACTATATACTTAGAGATTCAAATACTATTCATATCGAACTATCTTTCTTTGAAGGTGATTGAGTATATAGTATATCCAGGACACGTCATACATTTCTATTCAATAAAAATCACATTGCTTCAGACTTATCTCTGACTAATGAATTTTTTTTAGTGATCAATGGCATAATTTTAAATGTACTTTTTTAAATTACCAGGAAAAACCTGTTTTCAGCTCAGGATGGGGAGGGGGCAATGGAAGGAAGAAAGAACATTTCATTCAGAGCTGAGAAAGCCAAGGAAAATTATGGTTCTAAAAGATTACAACTTGATGCTTTGAACTCCATGAATTATAGTCTACTC